CCCATGGCCTGTCACAAAATGGTGGAGTTATCCCATGGCCTGTCACAAAATGGCGGACGAACCCATGGCCTGTCACAAAATGGTGGACTCAGCCCATGATCTGTCACCAAATGGCAGAGTGGTCCTATGAATTACCCTAAATGGTGGCCTGATCCAGGACCTGCCCCAAAACGGCAGATATAAAAATATATTGTAAGCCAGAGTAAAAATTTCAATCAATGCCTTAGTGCGTGCCTTATTGTATCCAGACAAGTTAAAGTTTGCTAAGTTAAAGTTTGTGAAGTGTAAAGTTTTGAAGTTTGTGAATACTCTGTCTGGAGGTTGTTTTAAAATTTGCCGAGTACCTTATTCTACTGTAACGTTCTGAAGTTTGCAAGTAAAAGTTTGGTATTGAAACCCCCTGAGAATTTTGTGGTTTCTCCCATCCAGTGTGAATCAATCAACCTTCCCCTAAATCCCCCGGGGGCATCGCAGTGCTGGGGGCTGGATAAGAGTGTCAGTGGTTGTTGCTGAACATGCAGCACGTGAAACAGAGAGAACGAAAAAGCAGCTTATTTTGTGCAGTGTGATCACAAAACCCCCCCAAGTTTCAATGTTGTCTAGACAATATCATGGATAATCCATTATGTAGAATCCTGCATGTATAGAAATGTGAGTCCCCGGTCATTGGCTTGAAATCCAATCAGTGCCCGTTACTTCCAGTGGGAAACAGAGAGTTGCTGGATTTAATGGCCTCGTTCTCTTTCCAAAAAGCCTCATGTCCCCAGCAAGTAGAGGAACCTTTGGGATGTCTCAGACTAATAATTCCATCAGTTAGGGTAACTCGTATTCCACGACTGAGCTTCACAACTACATGGACATTCCCTCATATCTCACAGCATGATCCACACAAAACCTTGCCAGTTCTGATTTACTCACCACTCCTGGCACTGCTTTCCGCTGGTCTTTAGTCAGGACAGTGCTTTGCCTCCAACTTTATGTCAAACTAAATAATAACAACCACACAACAAGAATAATAATAACAATAACAGTAAAAATAATAATTAAGTCGTTGATAACAAAATTTTAAAAGTAGCTGGTGATGATAAAATTATCTTACCATTAGAAAATTAATTTAGAAGAGGTTTAAAATAAAACTGAGAAAAAACAAGGAAGAAATATTGTCTTCCTGCTCAGGCTGGTCCTCCCGAAGGTGTGGCTGTCACTACGACAGGATCAGAGTTAGTATCTGACCATGCCCAGAGGGCATGTGGAGAAGGCTTGACACAAGTTAAAAAACATCAGTAAATCCTCCCCGCTTTGCTCCTGCCTCCAGACTTTTTTGAGATCTCCTTTTCAGTGTTTACCTATCGAACCTTCCCCAAGGTTGGGCACGTAACACATCTGCAGACATAAATAACCCGTGGAATCCTGCCATGAGAGCACATGAGCTACTTACAGTTCTGTCAAACAAAAAGCCAGGCTTGAGAGCTACACAGCATCACCAAAAACTGGAGACCTCTGTATTGCTGCAGTGAAAAAAAACAAGAGCAGACACAGCGTTTTTACATCAGGAGCTTTTCAGCAAAATATTCAGGAAAGCTTCCAAATTGTGGGTATTTTCTAACCCCCTTTAAACCCAGCTTTTGCCCTCTACTGCATCAAAGTATCAAATTCAAGGGGAATGTACTCCTCTTATGTACTCTACAAACACTCTTGTGGCACATTTATTAAACACACAGAGAACTGATCCACTGTTCTGCCTTGCACCGGTTACTTTCAAGGACTCCCATTTTGCCTGAGAGAGAACAGATATAAATAATTATAGAATAAAACACTGTCAGAGAATAATGCTCTCTGGTTGCTTTGGTCCAATAAAAGCCAAAGCCACCATAAAACTTTCATGGGAAAGGGCAGTAATTGATTCTATGAGGGTAACACTTTATCACGCTGCCTTGTTGCTATTATGCCAAAATAAATTAAAATATCTTAGTCCACCTCTATATATAGCTTAGTTTACACACCTAATTCTGATCTTTTTAAAATGACCTTGGAAAATGAAGTGTATTTTCTCACAGGCATGAATTTTATACATCACATTTTCCAGTATAATATCTCAAGACACTATTCTCATTTCTTTTAAGGACATCGCTGGCGCATTAAAAAAGAAAAAAAAATTGAGAAATTAGAGAATATCTGAGTTCCTGATTACTCATTGAATAGTCTGGATCTGAAGTAAAGCTAGACAGATTTCTAAGAAATTAATTTGTCTTCTGAAGGGCCACACAGTATGAAAAATAAGTGACAATATTAAACACTTAGG